TATTCGGCCTAGCCAATCGTTTCATCAATAAGGTTAGCATAAACGCTAATAATCGAAAAGTTCGTGGTCAAGAGATGACGTAAAGTGATAATAGTGACATTATCAGAAACTTCCTTGTAAATATGACCAATTTGCAATTATTATAACTCTGTGGTAATAGGTGAAATCGCTTGTCATTTTGTGTTGCCAACGTGCTAATGTGGCTAACGTGCTTAGTCGTAAAACTACGTATTCAAGGTTAGAATTCGTCTGAACTCGGTTTAAATTGTATTCCTTCTCAGATAGAAACTAAATTTCAAACAGAATTAGACAGTTACTTATAAATTCAGATTGAATAGGTTTTTAAGCTAATAATATATCTTGAATAACTGCTGTGTTCAGAATTGGTCACATATGGTAAAAAATGACAGATTGTAGATGTTTTTATAGGAAACTATGAGGAGTCCTCATAATGCCATTGAATTTCACTAAGCGTTGCTTCTCAAAACGTATTCTACTCCAGGCTGTAATGGATTGAATTTGCAACCTCATCTGGGCGTCATCAATTCCTACGACGGGAATTGAACCTAGTAGTTTTAAATCATTTTATGCTGCCTAGGATGAATACAGCTACTTGCTTAAACTCACGCATTTTCTCTTGAGCAAAAAAAATATATGTTCCTGCAACATGAGATAATATTGATCGAATTCTTTACATTTGCTACCAAATTAATTATAGAATTATACTAATTTTTACACTATTGCACATAAACACTATTCTTACGAAATAAAAGGGAAGAGATTCTATTGTTTTCAAGCGGTATTTTTCCTTTCATGTATACCTAGAGCCTACCCCTCTTTTATCTCATTCCTAGCACTCCTGGTAGGATTTAAAACTTTCTTTTGTGCACAAAAGTTCACTTCGCCCTTGCACTCACTTATGAGCCGTTTAGCTTCATTGTTAGGGCTGCTAAACAGTGTAGGCAATCTTAGTTTTCAAAAGCCTTGTACTTTAGTTTTATATAAGCAAATGTAGAAGGAACTTGATGGTATTGCCTGAATCTTCTCCATCTCTCATTCCAGAATGCTATCTTACTTGACTGGTATTCTCCTCCGAACCCACCTTCAGTGTTGTTCAGAATCGAGTTCTGATAAGTACAATTCATGCTGGGGAGTAGTAATCAGGCCTTAATAAGGCCACAGTCACACTCTGCTGTGGATTGTAATCTACTCTTGGAGCATGTGGGAAAACAAAATTCCTTCTTGACATCGAATTATTTGTCAATGCCTAAAACACACAGCACTACTAGTGATGCTCAATTTGCAAGTCAAGTTGTAAACTATCTTCATGGTCCCCTTCAGAATTCAGTTTTCATCACTTTGTTATGGCTCAACTTCATCGAGAGCAAGTCATATCCCAGGACTTGTTCTGAGGTGTAGTGGAGAGACAAAAGACTGAATAATCTGGCACAAAATTTGTATAGGGATTGGGTTGTCCATTATAATTGGCTGCATGCATTTTTGTGCCGAAAGTGATTAAAGAGGTGGATATTGGGGAATGGGGGAGCTGGAGCGAGGCTACCAAAAGAGATTGTGTAATAAACGTGAAGAAGATGAGGAACCGGACGCTGCAGAGGCCCAGTGAAAACAGGTGGCGATGATTTAACGTCAGCCTTGAGGCAAATTCGCAACAATTCTGCGGAGAAATAGTTGTTTTGAAGATGTCGACACAAACTAAATGGTCGTTTCCTGGTCCGTAAATCTTGGTTGACTTATACCATCACAAATACTGAAAAGGTAATGAAATATGTACAAGATTGTTAGCTACATTTAGAAAGACACGTGACATTTTACATGATACTTTCCCGGATTACGTTACGATGCCTCTAGGTTGTAGATGAGACAAGCGTAGGGAAATTCCACACAGGTAACCTGGTCTAAAACCGTCGAAGAAAGGGAGAGAGATGATAGCAAGCGACGGTGGCGTGTGAAGATGTCAGCCATAACAAAAGTCAGCCATCTCAATAGCGAAAGAGCCCAGAAAGAGGCGCCAACTTCCGAGGTCCTCAAGCTTAGAGCACTTGCATAATTTGAATGTCGTTTTGGATTGGTTAAAAACCCTTCGATTTGACAGGCTCAAAGATAGGCTCGATGCAATGGCGCGATTTAATTGGTTGATGTGACTAAAGAGTGCGGAAGAGTCATGCTCACAAATGTCCATTATTGGGGGCTAAAAAGTGTAACGAGTACTCTGATTAAGCTGACCGATGCAGGGACGAGTCACTTGAACTGTTCTCTTTCACTATTTGTCTACTTGCTTCTCACGTTAGGAACTCCTCTATTCCCCGGAGAAGATGAGGGCGATCAACTGGCCTGCATCATCGAACTTCTTGGTATGCCGCCACAGCGTCTTCTTGACCAATGCAAGCGAACACGTCAATTTTTCTCGTCAACTCACGGTTACCCACGTTATTGTACCACTACAGACTCCGAGGGTCGAGCTGTACTCCGTCCCGGCAAGAGTAAACGTGGCAAACTGCGAGGCCTTCCGGGAAGTCGAAGTCTGCAACAGGCCCTAAACGGCTGTGAAGATGTCGCTTTTC